TAGAGACATAGAGCATTCTGTTCACAATGAATAAAGGGAATATTAACTAAACAAGTCAATCCACTCTGTGCACAAAGAATAACAAGAAAAAACCATTTTAATCCCCATAGTAGTATTGCCATATAAAGCACAAAGGGGTCATAATTAAGAATCTTTGGTGCAGAAAAAAACCTCATTAAAGAAATACAGCATTAAGTGCTCATATATACCGACATTATCCAAAACATTTAAATTTTATTGTTTTTCAATAAGGTACTTTCAAAACTATTTATAAGCCTTTCATGACTAAAATGTTTATACCCATGTTCCTATTTTATTTTCACATTTAGAGAAAGGATAAGGCTAAGGTAAGGAATCAAAAGATTTCAAATGTTTTAACTTGTTCACAGCACTTTAAATTACATAAATCAAACAGAAATTATGATTTAAGCGTGTTATAAGAAAAGTTCAAATTTTTATCTCTAATTGGACCTTCTGAATAAAATTTGGCCCATAATGGTTCCATGAAACTTTTGAAGATATTACAGATTATACAGAGTCGTAATTTCAGAAAGTGGACTATGGAAGATCTTTCATAGGCACATAAGACCACTTAATTCATACAAATAAATAGATAGAGTACTAGGGCTAATAAGCAACCACTAACTCAATTACAGAATTGACTAATGTTCCAACTGATCCATACAAATGATTCAAATCAGAAACTCAAGTAAACGGCCATCGGTGAGGTACTAAGATCAACTCCTCGGGTAGCACATTATAGGCTGCCCTAACAAAGTTAGGCACCTGCACTAGCCAACCACGTAAATTATGTGTCTAAAAGTAGTACGTAGTAAATATCAGAGAATACTCAGGTTAATTGTGGAAGTCCGTAATTCTATCCATATGAAGACTTTGAATAAGACATCACAATTAAACAGTAAGTTAACAGATGGAAATGATTCAAAATGCAACCTCAAGCATAGCATATATAAGAATCAATGAGAGAACTGAACTAACATCTCACAGGAAAAAGATTTTTAACAGAACTTATTGCACTTACCTTAAAGGTGTTTGCAGCGGAGAAAAGCCTGATGAAGATCCAACATACTTCACTCTGTCACCTGTCAAAATGACAGGTCCTAGCATTAAGCATAAAACTTCCACCACAACAGGATATTTTCTAACCCAACATATATAAAATATGAAATGATGTTTTGTGTCATTGTCAAAGGAAGAGAGAGAGAGAGAGAGAGAGAGAGACCTTAAAAAGCATTCTCGCTACGAGAGCAACAATTACCTTTTTTGAAAGTGTAATTTTTTGACGAGGCAGTAGATGTCTCCTGCTTGGGCTGAGCATGAGAACTAATCGTTGAACCACCAGTTATATCGGCCTCAACACTTGAAGCTGGCTTCTTATTAAGATGCAGTGCCGCTGCTTGTGCAGCACGTTTAGCAAATACACTAGCTCTCCCTGGCTTTGAACTTTCTTTCACAGGGTCGACATCTTTGGCAATTGAACCCTAGATGGTATATTAAAGAGGAAAAAATTAACTGCAGGATAAAGAAAGTTCAATTACATTAACCTCGTACATCAACAATAACAAAAATGTTGTGAGTACTCGTCCCTCCCATTTCACTTAATACTGCAAAATCACTCTCAGGTGACTATAGCCAGCAGTGAAGTTATAGATTACTCTTCAAATATTCTGACCACCCTCCATATGATCATTGAAAATTTTGCAAAAGTTTAGATTGGATTGCCCTGAGCGGATGAGCCTGCCATCAAGCACCTCCCTGTTTACTTCTAATTTGGCTTGCGGTGGGTCTACACGAGCAAACTAACAAAATCCCTAAGGAACGAGGTAAAAGGTAGAGGGACATCCCAGCTAAGATTGAAAATTTGCAGCCAAGTTTCCATCCCATTCTCTATTTCCCCATCGAAATGATATCTCTGTTGTTCTTGAGGTCGAGGCTCAACCAAAAATGTTTTACTTTCTTTCCCCCACCCCCTCCCCCTTACACAAGCTTTTTTCTCCTGATTTTCAAGTCATTTTGCATATGTTCTGTCAGCAAGTCAAGAGATGAAATGAACTGTCATACATGTCCTAGTGAATTAAAATTGTTTGAATTGCACGAACGAACAATGACGGTAAATCATGTCTTTTCTACTATGATCTAGCCCTCGAACTGAGTCATATCATTATACCTCATACAAGTATATAGAAATGCAACATTAATCCCATTCTCTATTTCCCCATCGAAATGATATCTCTGTTGTTCTTGAGGTCGAGGCTCAACCAAAAATGTTTTCCTTTCTTTCCCCTCACCCCCTCCCCCTTACACAAGCCTTTTTTCTCCTGATTTTCAAGTCATTTTGCATATGTTCTGTCAGCAAGTCAAGAGATGAAATGAACTGTCATACATGTCCTAGTGAATTAAAATTGTTTGAATTGCACGAACGAACAATGACGGTAAATCATGTCTTTTCTACTATGATCTAGCCCTCGAACTGAGTCATATCATTATACCTCATACAAGTATATAGAAATGCAACATTAATAAGCATCCATGTATATTTCAGGTATTGTAAAGCTAAAACAGAGCTAAAGACCTGAAATATAACACAATGATGGCCATGGTTGTGTAAGGATGCGCAATAGAGCTTATGAATTGCAAATAACGAACTTTGGCAAGAAAAATGAAATGTTCCCTTTAGCATCTGGCAAGGATATTTCTGACCTAGGGACAAGATGACGTGTTTGAATTTCTTTGTTAAGAAATGGACCTTCCGCCTAACTCTACCTTAAAAGCTAGCTCATGAGGTAAGGATTACCCAAAACCATATACGTAGACAAACAACTCATCCTCAACAAATGTGGGATACTTAACACCTCCGCTCGCCGAGGCCTGCCAACTGGAGCGTGGACTATATAACATGTGGGCCCAACATTGGCGCACACAATAACAGGAATAGACTTGGCTCTAATATAAGAAATGGACTTTGCACCTAACTCAACTCAAACGCTAGTTCATGAGGTGATGGCTGCCCAAAACTACATGAGACAAGCAACTATCCCTCAACCATCCCTCAACCATCCCTCAACCAATGTAGGACACTTATCATTATATTCCTTACTCTCTATAGTTTGGCTGTTTGAACTGGGAACTTTTCTTCTTGCAATTTGCTAAAAATTTCTTATGGTTTCTTGGTTCCACCTCCCAAATTCTTAGACCACTTTTCTGGTTGATATTGGATATATTTCCACCTGAGATCCAGTAGCAATCCACTTCAGAACCAGCTTCACCATAACTCACGTAAAAACTTGACCATGAGGAAAGAAGTATTTCTATGTGGGAGAAAAAGACGAAGATGGTGTGGACTTAAAGGGCACTTAGAATCCAACCTTTTGTCGTATATCTGTGAGAGAGTGGTGGGTGTAAAGTTATCTTGCACAAGAGAAACAGAGCAGGTAATGGGGTTTGCTACCAATGGAGAATAGATATGAAAATGAGCAATCTTATGTCCAAGAGATTCAATTGCTGTATCTCATTTAAGCACAGTAGCTTCAGCGTACTCTCTCTTAATGGTTACACTTAAAAATATAAAAAAATATCTGCCTCTCTGCAAATGGCTCGCGGTATTTTTAGAGAGAAATCTCCCTTTTTAACCTGAATAAACACGCCATCCCATTTCCATTTATTACAATGACAATGAATTGAAAAAGTGGAATAGACTGTGTTCCAAAAACAATATTAGCTTGTTGCGTATTTCTCTTACAGCGTTGAACTAAATTTACTAAACATGAATGAGGTGGGTAGGCATCTGGGGTGTTCAAGTGGGGAAAAATATGAGCCCTCAACTGAGGAGTATACGATATGAGCCAAGTAACAGAAGATACTTACACCAGGCAGCAAGAGAGAATCAACTATCAGTAGCTTAGCACCAAAGCGTTTAGCAAGTGCTTTGGCCAATGTCTCCTGATAAATTTCTGAACCTGTGAGCAGTCAGCATTGAGTCAAAAATGTGATATTGAGGGCTGGATAGAACTCAATAAAACTAGGAAGAGATTACGCATATATGGGCAATAACTACCTGCTGGACCTGATAGCAAAATCCTAGGGCACACTGTGGGGAGATCTGAAGTATATTTTGCAAACTTGTTACACTTCAAGTGTATATAAGTGGAAGCAATGAGAATATTCTTGGTGTTCTCACTGTCATAGGACAAAAAACATTAATAAGTGCAGAAATCAATCAAACAAATTCCAGAATTATACGAGTACCAACTTTAACTTGAACAAACTAAATGTTGCAACGAGAAGTAATGAAAACAACACTAAAGCAATATCAACCAGCAAATTAAAATTTAAATATAAAAAAGGTGAGACCAAGATTCACCTTAAATAATATGGAAAATTTTCAAATGAGACCTCAATATTGTTGAAATCAAGTACTCCTTGCTGTAAGGCATTCTTAAATGCTTGGCGCCTAGTTAAAGCCGAAATTGGAGGATCAAAATCCTTGAATAGCTCTCGGAAATCCCTTTGCTCCTCGAGAATTTTGGAAATGCGACCACTTAAATCAAACTCAGAAGCAGAAGATCCAGCATGTACTCCCAGGAGAGGTCGCACCTTCCCAATCTCTGCATCAACTGAATCTAGTGCAGTGTTATCAAGATTCAAGTTATCATTTCCAACATCAGGAGATATCACATCATTCTTCTCGTCCACCAAAACACGAGGTACATCATTACAATCAGAAGCATCCTTCATATCAGTATCTAAATCATCTTTCTCTGCCACTCCACTGGCAGCGGGTAGTATTGGCAACTCTGAACATTGTTTTACATCCTTACCATTTTGAGATGATGGTGGGAGAAGGGACAACTCTTTTGAAAGATTTGACAAAGATGCCAGGGTCGATGCAACTGCTACAGTGGAGGGATCCCTGGACCTTGCCTCAAGATGCAGTCCTTTGATTGATCCACTATGAGCTTCCAATATGCTAACAGGACGAGCAAAACTTGCAGCAGATAAGTTGTCATCAAAGATCTAACGTATAAGTCAAGGAAACGCTGGTAACTCAGTTCTAGTAACCAAAACGGATTTCACATCGTTTTACATGTATATGAACTCTCAAACACAATGAATTAAGGATACGTAAGAATGTTGACCAGATGACCCAAAAACAATCTCATCACCTCCTTTGAGAGGGACAGTAGAATTTTTAGGGTAGACCTTGCCATTGACTTGCACATCGCCTTTCTTCCCCATAACTTCAAGCAGAGTGATGGATACCCCTTTCTAGTCATAAAGAAACCATAAACAGAATGAATAATGTTGTTTCTCTACTCCAAGTGGAAAACAAAGGAAAACACTGTTAAATGATGAAGAAATACTACTTCTGAGCCTGGACAAAGTAGCATCTTAAGAAAAAGTGAGGTTTACCTCTGTCTCAGTGTGCTTGAGATTACATAAAGTTTTACTAACAGAAGAATCTCCTATCCACAAGTCACTGCCACGACCTTGACCTACAGTATAAGTTGCACGATGCATGACAACATGAGGATTCTGCAAAGGCAAATAAAAGTAAATTAGTGAATTAGGTGGTTTATTTCAGAAGAAAGCTCATGAAAAGTAAGCATCTGGGATGTTGTTGATACTTGATATGGTAAATATGTAAAGTGATCCAGCTTACTTTTAAAAAGTGAAAAGAGCTCAACATTATTAAGATTTAAAGAATTTAACAACATATAAAGAAACAATTTAATTGTTAACTTCCCTATGGCTAATGTTAAGACAGCCAATTGAGTTGGCCAGGGCCAAGCCTTTGTCTGCTCAACACACTAAAGTGAAATTGCACCCCGGATCCCCTATCATAAGAATAATTATAACCAGACTTAATTGAGTTAGTTGGAGTTAGTTGAGACCAAAGCAGTCTGGAGACAAATATAAATTGCACTTCGAGTTTTAAGTCTAACTCAACTTTCAAAAGGTTTCCGACACCAACCTATCATGTCTATATCTTTTCTCTTTTTTTTTCTTTTTTGGTATTTCAGCACTCATCTCACCCACCTCAGGCACATATATTGGTTTTTTGAACAGAAATGAGACACTACTTCACAGTCTTATGCTTTTCTACAAGTTCTTTTCCAGCACACAAAACAAGCTTTCTCGAGAAGTGAAATGCCGAATAATCTCAAATAAATCCTTCTTTGAACAAGTCTTCAAATTAGTTTTATCAACAAAAACAAACAAACAAAAAAGAACCAACAAAAACAAAAAGAATACCTTTAATCAGCAACAAATATCCAGACTTAGCAACTACATTTAGAAATTTAATATCCCTATATAGACTACGGATCCACATCTACTCTTTTTTTTACAGTTTGAGGGAAAACTTAAAATATTATGTGTGCTCACGCATTCCCTACATCTAAACACTAAAAACACAGAGTTTCAGCAGAAAATTGTACAAAATCAGATCAAGACATTCAATTAAAACGGAGGGAGTAACTGAAGATCAGAAGTGGAAAGGCAAAAGATGGATAAGTTGAAGCTACAAGCCCTATGCTAATCATTTTATTGAACATGAACCAAGACAATGCCAAATTTTACAAAGAGTTTGCATTGAGCTTCAAAAAAAACCAATTCGGCTATATACAAAAAAGGAAGTTGGTGCGTGCCACAGTATAAGTAAATTAAAAGATAACCCTGGATCTTCCATGTCGGCTTTTCAACTCCTTCAACGGCATTTATTCCTCTCTCCATATATTTTCAACTTCTTTAACATCCTTTCTTCCCCTCTTCCATATCATCCAAAAATGGCACAACCGTGCTAGCCTCCACGTTCTCCTCCTCTGTCCCTCATTCTCAACCTCCAAATATTCCTCCTCTCTCCTCATTCTCAACTCCAAGTCACCGGGATCTCGCTGGTTCCCATTGGCAGTGTGCTAGCTAACGGTTACTATTTTCGCGTCAAAATTCGATCAAGATCACATATTTACCAAATTTTCATCTTAAATTCTTCTGGAATCTTCACTACTTTACCAAGTTACAAGAATCAAAGATAAACATATAGAAAGTTTAAGATAAGAAGCAAAACCTACCTGAGAGCACTGTGAAACAAGTTTACCCCATGCAGCAGCACCAACATTAGATTTCAGCTGCCGCTTCTTTCCCCGATTCAATGCCGACTCTTTTGCCTTAGATTTCTCCACATCAATCACAGAATCACCTAAAACCCATCACATAAAAATTCAAGAAACCAACACAAAGAAACATCAAAAGATCAATGTTTAAAAAAAACTCAAAGCACATGCAAGAAAAAAAATTGTACCTAAAGTCATGGGTGATACCAAAGGCTCGTTTGCCGCTTCAGTTTCCAGCGATTTTTGTGGCACATCAGCAGCAGCGGCCAGATCAGCTGATCGAACCTCTTGTTCAGCAGATTCAGGCCCTGATTCATTCAACTCACCCTGGATTTTCTCCCCAAGCGTATCATTAGTCGACGATGACAATGCCTCCGTCGCCTACAAAGCGGATCAATTTATATAGAAAATTTCAAAGGAAAAAGAAATCTTTTATGCAGGGTACATGCAGGCATGTAAAAAAAATCAAGATTTAGTGGTCTGGTCTATTAAATTATACATTTTTTTAAAATCTGTTTACATGAATTTAACCCTAAATCTGAATCTATTAGGAGTTATCCGATAAGAGAAACCCTAACCTTGGAGCGCTTGCCGTTAGAAATAGGAGAGGAGGGAGAAGAGAGAGAACGCTTGGAGGACGAAGAGCTGCGTCTGGTCTCAACCATGTTTGATTTTTGCTCCTTCTTCTTCTACAGATCCAAAGAATTAGAGAAATGAAGCAAAAACCGATTTGGATGTTAGGAGTAATAAATAGAGAATTCTAGTGTGTGTGTGTGGAAAATGGGGAGAGAGAGAGATAGAGAGACAAGGGGAGAAGGTGAATGATTGCGTGAATATCAGTTATAGAGTTCCGTCTGTTTGCTGAATTTATATGCTGCTAAGTTTTAAAGTGGCAGGGACCAGCTACAAGATAGTAGTAGGAATTAGGGAACAAGTCTTTTTTTTTTCATTTGATTTTCGTTTCTGGAAATTAAATAGTACCGTTGTATTGTTTTGTAAAGACCGTATGTTAAAAAAAAAATTAAAAAGATATAAGGGCGTCAAATAAATAAAATGAGTTAATTTTTTACGAGTTGAAACCATTTGAGTCAACAAACATGTCAAAACCTAATTTATCCAATGCTTACTTTGATTGGGTCGAAATTGGCTAAAAGAAATCAACCCACTCAGTTTGATTTTGAATTTAATTCCAACTCTAGCGCTTCAAAAATCTATATATATATATTAAAGCAAAAAAGTTACCATATATAACTGACATTATAGTTAAGCGACAAACTAATAAATGTCAATAGTATATGGTAACTTTATTCTATATTTGACTATTTTAGTTAAATACAAATATAATTTTGAGTTTATAGATAAAGTTCTAAAACTCGAATTTAAATTAAAAATAAAATTTATCTTTTTTTTATCATGTTATCATACTTAATTCAGTTAATGATCATATGCAATCATGTTAGGAACTTTTGTTATTTTTTATAATTATTTAAATACTACTTCGCCTCTGGAAAAAAAAATACTACTCCATATAACTATAAAACTCTTACACATTTTGTCACGACCCGGATTTTCCACCGTCGAAAGTCGAAATGACGCCTACTGATGTGAGCTAGGCAAGCCAATTATTTGAACAAATTACTTCTTTATCCATTTTATACTCTTTAACAATTTTAAAGCCAAAGCGTGTAGACAGCGAAAAATTTCAATAAGCGGAAGAAATGTAGTAACTTATCTGAATATATATATCTAATACAACTGTTTGAACCTCGACCACCCAAAACTAGTGTCACAGTACCACAGACGATCTAAGAATGCTACATATAAAGTCTGAAGATAAACAATACACTGTTTTTGAATTAAGGAAATGAAACAGAAATAAAGGGATAAAGGGAGACGCCACGGTCTGCGAACGGTCTACCTTGGATCTCCGCGTGGACTGAAGGCAGCGACCCAATCTACGACCCAATTGTTGCTGCTCCGAGATCTACACGTAGTGCAGTGTGTAGTATTAGCACAACCGACCCCATGTGCTGGTAAGTGTCTAGCCTAACCTCGGCGAAATAGTGACGAGGCTAGGACCAGACTACCAAATAAACATGTGCAATTCAACTATATACAGTGGAAAAGAAGAACAATAATATACAGTCAAGTATGAGAGGGGTAACATGCTGCGGGGGAGCTATCAATTTAGAATAGAAAGACAACAGGTAATTGAAAGAAACAACATATCTCAGATATCAGCAGAGAACCAGAAATCAATAAGTGCACGACATCACCCTTCGTGCTTTTACTCTCTTCCTCACCAAAGCAATCAAGTAATGAAAATGTGCACGGCATAACCCTTCGTGCTTTTACTCTCGTCCTCACCATATAATCAATATAATCGGCACAGAATGGTACATCGTGCGGCAGGCATCACCCTTCGTGTTTTACACTCTTTCCTCACAAATCATACACGGCATCACCCTTCGTGTTTTACACTCTTTCCTCACAAATCATACACGGCATCACCCTTCGTGTTTTAACACTCTCTCACTAAAATAATACACGGCATCGTCCTTCGTGCTTTAACACTCTTCCTCACCCAAACAACAATCACAAATAATAGGGCAAGGGAATAAATGAAATTACAATAAGGATTCCGGCAAGGGAACAATAGTTCAACAATCAAGTCCCGGCAAGGGAATAACATCAAAAGAAGCATCAACATCCCGGCTAGGGAGATAACATCAAAAACAACAAATTCCCGGCAATGGAGATAATATAATGATTCTCTTCTCTTTTTCACTTCTACTTCACAACTCACTTCACAACTTTGAGCTAATGCTCTAGAAAGGTTTAATTTCCACTTATACTTTCACATTTCATTGTACAACTTGAGCAAACGCTCCTCAATATTCAAATGTCACAATTTCTTTCACAAACTTTGCCCAACAATAGAAATCATCATCAAAGCATGAATAATACAACGAAGCCATAATAATCACAATATAAGACTCACGGGCATGCTTGACACCAACGTATAGATACTCGTTACCATGCCTACACGTCGTACTCGACAAATACCACATAGCAAATACGACTCGACTCCTAATCCCTCAAGCTAAGGTTAGACCAAACACTTACCTCGATGCCACGAACACAATTCAAGTCTCTACTATCGCTTTACCTCTTGATTCCACCATTAATTCGCTCGTATCTAGCCACAAGTTACTTGATTACATCAATAAATGCTAAATGAATCAATTCTAATACATGAAAATGAGTTTTCTAAAGTTTTGCCCAAAAAGTCAAAAATCGCCCCCGAGCCCACATGGTCAAAACCCGAGGTTCGAACCAAAACTCAATTACTCATTCCCCTACGAACCCAAGTATATAATTTGTTTTGAAATCGAACCTCAAATCGAGGTCCAAATCCCCAATTTTTGAAAAACTTAGGTTCTACTCAAAACACCCAATTTTTCCCTGAAAGATCATTGATTTGAGTTGAAAACATGTGAAAAAGGTTAATGATTGAATAAAACGAGTTAAATTGACTTACAATCGATTTGGAAGAAGAGTTGTCTTTGAAAAATCGCCCAAGAGTGTTTTGGTTTTGAAAGAGTGTGAAAAATGAAAGATTTTCGGCTAAGTTATAAAATTGCAGGTTGCAGATATAGGAATAACTTCTGCTAAGTTTGCATTTGCGAAAATGGGCTCGCATTTGCGAGCTGGGAAATGCGACCAACATGACGCATTTGCGACGACTGGCCACAAGCTGGGGGATCGCATTTGCGATTAAAACACTTGCAATTGCGAGATAGGCTGGTCTGAGCTACTTTCGCAATTGCAACATAGCCCTCGCATTTGCGAGCCAGGCTTCGCGAGCCTGCAGGCCTGCACAGAAACAGCTGAAGCCTGCAATTCCTTAAGTTCAAAAACCCACCTCGTGGCCTATCCAAAACTCACCCGAGCCCTCGGGGCTCCAAACCAAATATGCACACCAACCTAAAAACATCGTATGGACTCGCTCGTGCATTCAAATCACTAAAATAACATCAACAACTATGAATTTAACATCAAAATCATGAAATTTCTCAAGAACTTCAAATTTTCCATTTTTCTAAAAAACGATCCGATTCACGTCGTTTCAAGTCCGTTTCTTACCAAACTTCACAGACTTATCTTAAATCACATATAAGACCTGTACCGGGCACCGGAACCAAAATACGGGCCCGATACCATCAAGTTTTAAACACTTTTCATTTTCAAAACTCAGAAATAATTTTAGAAAATAATTTTCTTTAAAAATTTATTTCTCGGGCTTGGGACCTCGGAATTCGATTCCGGGCATACGCCCAAGTCCCATATTTTCCTACGGACCCTCCGGGCCCGTCAAATCACGGGTCCTGGTCTATTTACCTAAAATATTGACCGAAGTTAACTTAAACTCATTTTAAATGCAAAATTCATCATTTTTCACAAATTTTTCACAAAATAGCTTTCCGGTTACGCGCCTGGACTGCGCACGCAAATCGAGGTGATGCCAAAAGAGGTTTTTAAGGCCTAGGAATGCAGAATTCACTTTTAAAACAAGTGATGACCCAACCTCCACCTCTAAAACAAGCGTTCGTCCTCGAACGGACAGAAGAAGGAAGTACCTGAGTCGGGGAAAAGAAGAGGATAACGGCTTTGCATATCGGACTTGGACTCCCAAGTTAATGCCTCATCGGGCTGACCTCTCCACTAAACACGAACAGAAGAAAAACTCTTCGATCTCAACTGACGAACCTGCCGGTCTAGAATAGTTACCGGCTCTTCCTCATATGACAAGTCCTTGTCCAACTGGACAGTGCTATAATCTAACACGTGGGATGGATCGCCGTGATATTTCCGAAGCATGGACACATGAAACATTGGATGCACAACTGATAAGCTTGGAGGCAACGCAAGTCTGTAAGCCACCTCTCCCACTCGATCCAGAATCTCAAACGGGCCAATGAATCTAGGGCTAAGCTTGCCCTTTTTCCCAAATCTCATCATGCCCTTCATAGGCGACACCCGAAGCAATACCCGCTCACCAACCATGAATGCCAAATCTCGAACCTTATGGCCGGCATAACTCTTTTACTTGGATTGAGTTGTATGAAGCCTATCCTGAATAATCCTGACCTTGTCCAAGGCATTCTGAACTAGATCCGTACCCAACAACCGAGCCTCCCCCGGCTCAAACCATCCAACTGGCGACCGACATCGCCTGCCATACAAAGCCTCACACGGAGCCATCTAGATACTCGACTGGTAGCTGTTGTTGTAGGCAAACTCTGTTAAAGGCAAAAACTGATTCCACGAGCCTCCAAAGTCAATGACACAAGCTCGGAGCATATCCTCCAAAATCTGAGGACCTGAGCTAGGCCCATTGGAACTGTCTGGGCCAGAACCTCATCATCAAAGTCAACCTGAGGCTCCGCCGCTGGTGCTGCTACCCTGGGCTGAGTTCTGCCCCTACCTCGGCCTCTAGCACGGCCTCGCCCTCGCCCTCTGCCCCTCGTGGGAACTGCTGCTGGGGGCTCGGCTGCTGGTCAGTGGATGAGGAAGCGCGTGCTCTCATCATCTGCGAAAGAACAGGGTAGAAATTTAATTAGCATTGAGAAACCAACCCGCACGATAGGAAAGAATAAATGTGAAGTTTTTCCTAACTCTGTAGCCTCTGTGGGATAAATATAAACGTCTCCGTACCGATCCCTCAGGCTCTACTAAGCTTGTCTGTGAACTGTGATACCCATGTAACCTAGAGCTCTGATACCAACTTGTCACAACCCGAATTTCCCACCTTCGGGAGTCGTAATGGCGCCTACTAATATGAGCTAGGCAAGCCAAT